TTTGTCATTGCCCTTTGTAACTATTTGATGTTTATATGTGGTCATGTTTGCGATTTAGTTTCATCTAAACTTTTTTATTTCGTCTTAAAACATTATGCCTCTCTATTTTATTAAGTTCTGTAACTAATTCTTTTTAATCATTTCTTATTCTCTGTTAGTAATTCTATTCTACTATGTGAAAGTTTTTAATTAGTACAATATGCTTTCACCTCACAAGTAACTATCAATTTATGCAGGCGTTTTGGACATTATTGGACATAAAATGTAGTGTCTCTTGAGGTGCTGAAGGAAAGAGGGAATCAAAATTTATGCCAAGTATGGTAATTGAATTTCCCGGAGTTTTTAATTGATTTTTGGACTTTTAAAATTGAATCTGTAATAAACTTGGTGGTATTGACTGTAATACAATGAACTGACATCCATGGTCAAAATAGTGATCTTCTAGAAGTATGGGCCATTTGACTCATTTGATATTACTGATTTTAGAATATTGGATAGTTTTGTTGCTCAACGTTTAACAAAGAGAGTCTATGTTAAGGTCATTTATGAATTTGTTAGCAAAAAAGATATGAATTCAGATCGTGATTTTTATGTTGTACTTTATTATTTTTAAGCTGTGAACATTTCATCGAGAAATAACTAATTAATTTAATGAATTCTGGAAGATAATTGCCTCACGATTAAATGATCATTGATGTTCATGCTTTTGGAAAAATATGGTTACTTAATGGTGAAATTTGTTTAGGTAGATGTATTGTATGTGCAAATTTGCAATTACCTATCAACCTTATTTAGTATCACGACACAATTTAATGGCCATTTACCTCAGTAAATTGGGGCTTCTAGGTAAGATCGTAACTAAGTTGGCAATTTTTCTTTTTCTTTTATTGTTTACCAACTTTTATATATTTTGTGTATTGTGCTCAATTGGCCTTGGTAGGATTTGGTTTTCAGTCGTGGTTGCTGACATTTTGAACTTATCTTATGCTTAAGAATGGTGGGATTTTGATATTGTGATGTATCTCTGTTAAATATTAAAAATTTCCGTATATTGCTTTGCTGTATTACATGTAGTAATATAGTATGAGAAGCTATGTCGTTCGGGAAAAATGTTGCTATAACAGCAGAAGGAAATCATGAACTTCACATATAGAACTCAACACTGCACTTCATATAAAAGGTGACTTACTTGAAACAATTTAATGTTATTTTTGCCATTGTTCAATTGTGGAATTACGAAAATTATAACGGTTATCGTGCAACGCACGATCCACACTAGTTTTTTAATAAAAAATTGATTTTGAAAATTTCAAACTTGTTTTCATATTTTTGAAATAGGCTAAACTTATTCTCTTGAAAATGAAATTTTCCAAAAATTATTTTCACATTCACAAATCTTAATTAAAAAGGGAAATGTCATTTTTACACTCCAAAGTATATATCATGTTTTACACTTGCTTTGTTAAAAAATGATTGGAACGAAAACTGTTTATTGTTTATTTTTTAAAACTGTCAAATGACAGTTTGTCATGTGACAAATTGTTAAACTTGGTGTACACTTGGACCATGATTGTCAAAAAAATATTTCAGGAAAACACGGGAAGATTGGCGATGCTACAAATTTGGGCTTATTCTGTCTATTTGAGCTTTTTGCATCCCAGAGCTCAAGAAATTCAGTGAATTGAACGTGTGTAATTGGCAGATGCTACGATTTTACCTTATTTTTCGGGGTATCCAATGTTCTAAATGTCCCGTGAATTGAATATCAAAAAAATGCATTAGATAAGAAAATGTCATTAGATAGTAGAAATTTAAATTTATTCAAAAATGGCCTCCATTTGATTATTATTCAAATTTTTAATCTGGACTTTTAGCTACCTATTAATTTTTCCTAGGACTGAGGCCACCTGTCGGGAATTGATCCTTATCTACACGATCTTTGAATTACGATTTCTTCTTAGTAATTACTGAAAAAAAAAAAAAATCATTTTCATGGTTTATTATGGATGAAATATTACAGCAATTTCCCCTCGAGGAATTACCAAATTGATTGCATGTTTAGTGTACGAGACTAGAGAGAAAAACATAGATTTAGAGTTTGTTTGGGAGGGATTAAAATCAGATTAAAATTGAAAATATAGCCGTTGAAGTTGATTTTTATTAGACGAGTGAAATCCAATAACGGCTATATTTTCAATTTTAATTGGATTTTAATCCTTCCCAAAC